GTTTCGGCAATTCCTATGCAACTGTTATTGCGTTTCCATGGAAGTATACTTTCCGGATTCACGCGTGGCCGGGTACAGCTAGTAGGTATATAAAAACACGCGCGCATTCGAATGCAACGTTGTGTCAAAATTTCGAAGCAATCGGTGAAGAACTTTCGGAGATTTTCGAGGGCTAACAAACGAACATTTACATTTTTATTTACATAGAATTTTGTGCTGGAAATACTTAGATCAGAAGATGACGGAAAATGCCATATTTTCCAAAAGTGGTCTGAATTCTGCTAATCCATTCTGTTTAATTATGAAGGAGAGGATTTGGAGATAAATGGCTTGTAATAAAATGCAAGAAATCAGCAAGAATAAAATATTATAACACACGTATGAAATTAAATAAACATAATTTCTGGAATATAAAGAGACTAGTGAGGTTCAAGGTTCTTGTGGCAGTGACTAGGAAAGGTATAATCTTCTGGATGATATTGTGCAGTCTGGCATAAGTTTAACAATGTTTCACAGGAACACTGGTACAGTTCTACCAGACTACATGGTGTTACATCCAAGAAAACAGTACTTTCCACTGACACTCCCAAAATAAGCATAAATTATATAAAAGCAAGAGAAGAGCAACTTGATTAAAACAGCATTATCTTATACACATGAGCAAAAACTGGATATATTCTGATGATGTCCTTTGCTTCACTTTCACTTTATTTTAAATTCCATAGATCCCGATCAGGTCACGCTTGCCATAGGATATAGAACATTTCAAAATACATAAACACGTACATAAAAACAATGAACCCATCAACATGCAATACAGTCACAATACAAAATTTGTACATAAAATATTCAAATATGATCAGATTTATGCAGATATATGATTATCGTTGTCACCATCATAAATCAATACAAAAGACCTATTCATAATATAGAAGTTTGATGCAATTATTTTGATCACATAACTACAAATACTTCATTTTACAGTCCAAATATAGTACCTTTCATCAACTATTTATTAACATATTGCTCTACAGCAAGCGTCTCCAAACTACGGCCTGCGGGAAACATCCGGCCCGTGAAAGAATTGTGCAGAAATACGCCAATTGAACTAATTTTCCAATGATTACTGGTAAAGAAAATACTTCTTCATAGATTTCAAATTCATTAATTAAGATTGTGTTAAAAATATATTGATATTCCATATTATGTTAATATTAATATTATTCACAATTTCAGATTTTAAAGAAAAATTTCGGAAGCTATTTGCTGATTTGGATGCCAGTGCTCAGGAAATTAGATTGTTTAAAAATCCGTTTGACTGTGATGCTGCAGATGTCCCAAGTCAAATTCAAATGGAAATTATTGAACTTCAGGAAAATTATCATATTAAAGACAAATACAAGGAAGGAAATTTGATCGAATTTTATAAATTTCTGAACTCTGAGCAATTTCCAATTTAAAGAAATTTGCTTGTAAATTTATCTCCATTTTTGGGATGACATATCTGTGTGAACAAACTTTTTTCCAGATGAAGTAGATCACGTCGAAATACAGGGCAAATTTACATTTAAAGTCGCTACTTGTGATTAGTGTTTCAAAATTTGAACCTCAATTTAATCAGATTTTAAGAATGCAAAAAGAGTTCCATCATTCACATTAACTGTATTATTATAATTTGTGATGAAAATATGAGCATTTGCTGCTACTGTCTGTTGTCATTAACATACGACAATTTATTCTCACGTACTTTGTATTTAGTTTATGAGATTCTGTGCTTTCAATAAAACTTATATACCTAGAGTTATTAATTTCACATTTTATCCGGCCCATTGAAAGTGCTGAATTACCTAATGTGGCCCGAGTTTTGAAAAGTTTGGAGATCCCTGCTCTACAGGATAAAAAGAAATGAGCTGTGAGTAAACCATTCATGACCATCTTAATTGTATACAGCCATATGTTATTTGAAACAGATGGTCTGTTACAGTACCATACTACCATAAAATTGATACCCTTAAACACCGAGTGACTAGTCAGCGGGTAATAAATACATCATGTGTAAAGTCAACCTAACAAACAATTCAAGAGAATATCTGGATTACAAACCTTTATCTTCTTTGTACTGAAAGTATTCATTTATAGAGTAAAAACAATATGACATAAAAATCTCTTTAATGTAAATTTAAAGCTTTTCTCATCACTGACCAAAATCTTTATTGATCGTGGAAGATGATTGAACACTTCAGTACCTGTTATATAGGCTCCTTTATCAAATTTTGAAGTACTCACACAAGGTACATGTAAATTACCTTGGGATCTAGTTGTATATTCATGAATCTCGTTATTAAAGTTAACTAAATGTTTATTATTAAATATATATAGAAGTAGTGAGTATATATACTGAGAATATAATGTCATAATTTCCAATTTCTTGAATATATCCCTGCAAGAATCTCTAGGTTTAGTGTTCGTTACGATTCTAACAATTTTCTTTTGCAAGAAAACACTTTCCTGGCATGTGAGGAGGCACACCAGAAGATTATACCATAACTCATGATGGAGTGTACGTAAGCAAAGTAGATTGGCCTTAACGTTGCAAATGATACAATATGTTTTATATTTCACAATGCATAGTATGCAGAGGATAATCTACTGATCACTAGGTCAATATGCTGTTTCCAAGATAATACATCATCAGTAATCAAACCAAGGAACTTAGTTTCTGTTACACTGGAGATGCTTTCCTGATCATAATTAATCTGTATCGTTGTGTTACAATTCAGAGACCGAAACTCTAAATGCTGAGTTTTATTGAAATTTACGGTAAGTAAATTAACATTAAACCAAGTGTTTATGTCTTTAAAAGTTTGGTTATGATTTGTTTCAAAGTTTACATTATTAGTATCGGTAATTATAATACTGGTGTCATCAGCATATAGAACCATGTTATTATCCTTATTTATTATTTTAGGTAAATTATTTATATAAGATAAAAAAAGCAGGGGGCCAAGAATCGAGCCTTGTGGGACTCCACATTTAACTATTTCCCACTTAGATGTATTGTTCCTATCAGTTATATGACCCAAAAGAACTTTCTGATGTCTACCAGATACATAAGATCTAATAGTGTTTTAAATATACCTTCTATTCCATAGAGTTCCAGTTCATCCAACAAAATTTTGTGATTTACACAATCAAAAGCCTTTTGCAGGTCACAAAAAATACCTCCTACATTCTGGCTGTGAGAATACTATTAATCAAAATGCCACCTTCTTTGCTGGAAGCAAAGGACACAATGTGACACTTTCTGTAATTAAAAATCCATTGTATTCATGACAAAATGTGTTTAGATATAATGAATTACATAAGGAAATTTTGTCTTTCACACTTCCCAGGTTCATTAGTGCATGCTGTTAAAATATACAATATTGTAACTATTTTATATGATATAAATCTAATTTAGTGCTATGAAGAGGTCAAGTAAATATAAAGTATCTACCATATTTAATAGTGATTATATCTAACCGTAATTCAGACCACTTTTGAATGCAAGCTTTGGACTAGAAGTTGGAATGAAAGTAAATGAAAACACTATATTCCACTGATGATATCTGAAAACCTATGAACTACATATTTTAAAATCATGCTTTTATGTCAATCCAGAACAGTAAGACATTATACAAATAACAGAATTCCTACCGCAGTCAAATATTTACATGGTCACTAACATAAACACAATAAAACTGCAATATACAGAAATAACGTATTGGTAACAGTGAGCACTTTCTTCTCAGTCAGCTGGAAGTCAAGAGTATTACCAGATTCACTCACTGTAAATACAAATACATATACTCGTATATTTGCTCTTTTTAGCCTCTACACACATTATATAAATAAATAAATAATAATTCATAGCATGCCATTACTATTTTGTGAATATGTATCTGAAGATTAATAACTTTTAGGGCAAAATATTTGTCATATCAAGTTTCTTAATAGCCATATGAGAACAGGCACATCTTGGAAACTCATACACTTTTAATGTTTTTGAACTGTTGGTCTAAAAGGAAATATTTAATGACCTGTACAATTGTAAGTACGGTTTATGAAATCGACAGTTCATCTGCAACAACTCCATACAAACTGGAAATGTGGAAGATTTCTACTGAAGCTAACCAGTCACTGGTGGCCACATAGAACAGCCATCAAATACAATCAAGTTTCATACCACAAAAAATATGGGTCCATGAAAGAAACACTGAAGTAAATTCTGCAAACATGTTAACTCATAATCTGAGTTTATGAAGTTTACAAAATTCACAATACAGATTTCTGCTCTGTTCATGTATCAAAGTGCATGGTCAAAGCAACATACAAAATGGAAGCGAATGTTCTACACGGTGGTTCAAATATGACCAGGACTGATTTTTTTTTTAAAAAACCATAAATGCCAAACACTTACTTGCACATGTCAATCTTCAACATACTCCCTTCTGGAGTCAACGTTATGGAACCATCTTGATGCCCTTTTCAAAAAAGGCTTGTGGTTGGCAGCGTATCCACTCCCGAACAGTCTGGATGACAGTGTCATTGTCCTCAAACCACATGCCTTGCAAGTCTGATTTGAGCCTTCCAAACAGGTAGAAATCACTTGGGGCCAAATCGGGACTGTACAGCGGATGTGTCAGAAGGTTCCACTTCAATTTCCGGAGGGTTTCCATTGTTGTTTTGGCCATATGGGGGCGTGAATTGTCTTGAAGGAAGGCTACCCACTTTCTACCTTTCTTCAGCTTGGATCAGATCTTTTCCTTCATGTCTGTTGCCAGGAGGTCTGAGTAATAAGCTGCACTGACTGTTCTGGCATCTGTCAAGAACGTTGCCATCACTTTTCCTGCTGAATGGCTCTTCTGTGCTCTCTTGGGTTTGGGAGAACTGGTATGCCGCCACTAGCGTGATGATTGCTGGGACTCAGGAATGAAGTAGTGCACCCACGTTTCATCGGTGGTCACTATAGACTTCAAAAATGCATTACTTTCATTTTCAAATTGCTGTAGGAGACGACTGGCAGCTTGCATGAGCACAATTTTGTTCACGTCCATCAAAGTGCGTGGTACCCAACATGCATTCACCTTGCGATAGTGCAGGTGGTATTTCATGATGTCTTCTATACTACCAACACTGATGGACAGCATTGCTCCAAGTTCCTTGACAGTGATGCGCCTATTCCGGTGTTTTGCAACTGGTGTGCTGTCACAAGGTGAAAGGTGTGACATGAACGTTTACCTATTGTAAGAAATTAATTGTCGAATTTTATTCGTTTTATTTTATTCCAGTTACCATGTTTCATATGCTTATATTTTATTCTCAGCCACTGCACTGATTAAATAAGATGATGCTTGTTTATTCTTTATTACATGCTGTGATTTTTTATGTACAGTAACGTTGTATTCTAAGAAATTAAACATAAATTATTTACTAACAACTGTTGTTATATTATAGTTTTCATTATTGATTTATTTTTCTCGCATCTACGCTGCTTCTTTGCTATGCTTGCCGCATGTTCTGTGTACGTGCTTTTCCCTAAAACTGCAGGGATTAGCAAGGGTTTTCCTGTCTTTTATAACGCTGTTTCGGTATTTGCCCATTTGTTAGAAGTTAGAGCTTCTTCAACTTTAGATGCCCCTACCGATTGTTGGACTTCATTTAAAATTATAAATATTTCAAAAATAAGTCGGTATAGTGTCACCTCTTCTGCTTGAAGAGTAGAGATCCCACGTTTTACAATTGTTTCAGTTCTATCACGGCTGTGCTCTTAAGTAGTTCGCAAATTTTGGTTGCTAGTTAGAGAATTACAGATGGGTCATTTGAGATGTCCCCGACTGTATGGCCACTTGCTGATGACAATAAAGTGGTGATGGACACAATTAAAGAACATTCAGAAATGCTGCAGCAGAAATTCAATAAGTATTTTGGAGAGAGTGTACAAGATTTCTACTGGGTTACCGATCCATTTGTTGTGAATTCAGAACATCTTCCAACTAATATACAAGAGGAACTTGCAGATTTAAAAGCAGACAGAACACTGAAACTAAAACTTCTCGAAGTGCCTTTGGATACGTTTTGGTTGGCAATAAGGAGTGGATACCCGGCTATCTCTGAGATGGCAGTTAATGTGTTATTTTCCAACTACATATTTGTGTGAACTGGGCTTCTCGATGTTAACTGAAATTAAGACATCAAAGAGGGAGTGGCTCAAATCCATCGATGAAGAAATGAGACTTGTGTTGTCAACGATTCCACCACGGATCAGTCGCCTGTGTGGAGCTATGCAGGTGCAAGTATCACATTGAAGGTATGAGTAGAATTTCTGTATTTACTTTAACAGTAATAGAAGTGTATTTTCTACGCTCTACAGTGAATTAAAGTTCATTAATTGCTAATAAATGCACGAGTCGATTTCTGTTTAATGACAATAAAATAACGATATAATAATATTATAGTAATAAGTTGAACACGTTACATATTTATATTAATTGTCTGATATCATGCGTTTTTGAGGCGAATAACATTTTGGTGTGCCCTGTTGAGTCATGGGTACTTCATGGTGTGTTGCGAGTAGAAAAATGTTGCGGAACAGTGGCCTATTCTCATGAATAAGTGTCTGCACGATCAATGTTTGGCTTGGTGATGGAGGTTCGCGGCCGACGATCATGCGGTTCATTCTCCACGCGCTCTCTGCCCTCTCTGAAGCACTTACACCACTCAAACACACGTGTCCATGAGAGACACTCTTCCCCATACTGTTGTTGGAGTCTGTGGTGAATTTCAGCAGACGGGACGTTTTCTCCGAGGAATTTGATCACAATGCGTTTTTCCACGCTCTGCGGTACCTTCTCTTCACTCATCACTCTAGCAACTCCCAGACAGGACTGAACAGTTTCTAACCCGAACAGGAGGGAGGGGGGAGGTTGTGGTTTCACTCTCTCAAGGTTGCACAGCTGCTGCACAGTGCGGCTTATTAACACACAAATCAGTCCCGATCATATTTGAAGCACCTTGTATTATCTGGACAGGTAATAAAATAAATTTCCATGCAAATTTCCCACTGGAAGGGGGGGGGGGTCCTTATAGCCAGGTAAATTCAGTATCCAACAAATAAACATACCATGAAAATAATTTTCTTAACTGTCAAGAAACTCCTGACATTTATAAATAATTTTCAATAAAACTTCAACATAGGCACTATTTGTCACTCATAGAACATCTTGATGATACTCATTTTTAGTCCCATGTGGCTCTGCGCATTTGGAAAACTATTCCAATGGCTGCAGCTGCTTTTGAGAATGCACTCAAATCTTGTGCTTTTAATTGAACAGGCAATATGAACCACAAACAAAACAACAAAATTTAATAGGTGAGATCAAGACATCTAGGAAATACCATAATTAGGCAATTTCTTCTAATTTAGTGATTTAAAAATTTGACAGTTTGGTGATACACACAGCCTATATTAAAGTCCCTGGAAAATGAACTCTCAAACTTAAGGAGTTTTATTTACAGACATAAGGGCATTAATCTTTAGTGGCCTGATATTTCTCTAACCACTAAGAGTTTGTCTTTTTTTATGATCGGTACACGTTTTAAAATAAGCATTTAAAATAATTTTGAACTATTTTAACATTAAACAACAGTTTCCAGAATGCAATGTTGATAATATAAGTACTATCAGAAATGTTTTAATTATTTTGTATAAAAAAATTAAATTTTGTCTTTAACACTACACTACGGTACACTACATATATCATTCTGAAATGCTACTCCAAAACTAGAACCTCAAGTGAATAAATTATGAGTATAAAACACAACAAAGCCTTCAGGACACAAGTTAACAATTTGAAACTGACAACCAACCAGGTTTTGTGAACAAGTAATAGAAATCCAATTTCTGTATGGTAAGAAGAAAGGAAATAAATTCTGTCACGTTACTGTACATTTTACACAGACTGGTTGTTGCAAAGAAAAAGAGTTAAAAAAATGTATAAAAGAGCACCACTTATACAACTTGCACAATACTGTATCTTGACAAACTCCAGACTCTAAATACTTGGATCACATACAGTACCCAGAAGCTGAGTTCGACTGTAGAGGGATACATGTTTATATTTTTCAGCATTTCTTCTTAATCTGCTGATTCACCAAGAGAGTGATCACGACAGCAGAAATACTATCAACGAAATCTATTGCAACTGCAAGGGTTGACCAAAGTCTTCAAAATAACAATGCATCTTTAATGCTAGAGTGAAGCATTTCAATGTTATTCTTGGGTATATGATATAAATTCCATCCTAAGTGCAACAATTTATTGTAGGTCTTTCATTTTGCTTTCTTCTACACTACATGTTTCGGCCACAAATGGCCATCATCAGGTGTATACCCTCACATAGCTGTTACACTGCACCCGGTTTAAAATTTAAAAACACACAGGTCTTCCCAATTGGCTAACAGGATCTACTTCACTGATATTTGTCTGATTCATACATCATCTTTGTCACCCACACACGTCAATTTTGACATTCATGAACTGGCACTTTTAAAATCTTCAGTTCCAATTTTAGAAAATTCCTTTAAAATTCTTTTTTTTTTTTCCAAATTTTAAAATTTAAAATTCTCAGGGTTACTCACCCCACGTCTATAGTGCTGCAGCAGGTACTTCTTGTTTTCAGCACTGTACAGGTGCTTTTCTGTGTAGGCTCCCTGTGTGCGTGCCGCTGCTTATCTTCACTATGTGTGCTCAAAGATAAAGCAGCGGCATGCACACAGGGAGCCTACA